CCATCATTCCAGATATTCTAGTAACTGAACTGATTCAGCTTGTATGTGAAACACAAGCTTTCTAACAGACAGAAAGCAGCAGATGCGGCTTGCAAGCCACAGGCAGCTCTTTCGTCCCTCTGCTGTGACTCCCTGTCAGGTGAGCCCACCAGCGTCATCACGGCAGGAAAGGTTTGTCTGCTGCCTGCTTCGCTTTCTGCCCTGCCACCTCCCAGCTGGAGAGCTACATTTGTTTGCTTGCTGGCCACCTCAGAGGAGGGAGCTGCACTCAGGCTGCTTGGGTCCCTACTGTGGGAGGGGGGAGAGGGAGCGGGAAGGGGGGGGTGTCTCCCCAACAGGATCCAGGTTAAAGTTGCCTTATTTTCCATGGTCCTCCACTCCCCCTCCACAGCCCAAGTGGTTAGATTCACACAACACATGAAGCTGGGCAGGAGAGCACGGATAGATGGATGGAGAGATGGATGGGAGGAGGGATGGAGGGATAGGTAGATGGATGCAGGGATGGATAGATAGATGGAGGGAGGGAGGGATAGATAGAGGGATAGATGGGATAGATGAAGGGATAGAGAGGTAGAGGGAGGGATTGATAGAGGGATAGATATTTGGAGGGATGGATGGATGGGGGATGCAGGGATGGAGGGAGGGATGGAGGGATAGATGGGGGAGAGATAGATGGATGGATTCAGGTATGCAGGGATGGATGGAGGGATAGATATAGATTAATAGGAGGGGAGGGGGAGGGAAGGATAGATGGAGGGAGGGATGATGGATGGATAGATGGAAGGATAGATGGGACAGGGAGAGAGAGAAAGATAGAGGGAGTAAGAGAGATGGAGACAGAAAGAGAGCAGAGAAAGAGACACAAAGATAGATACCCACTTTCCACAGAAAAGAAAACTGGGAGCCACAAAACCTGGGTAGGCATGGCTGGGGGGTGGAATGAATGGGAGTGACGTCAAGTTGGCCACACCCACCCAGGTTTTCTTTTCTGTGGGAAACTGTCCAAATGGCTCTTTTGAGTGTTTAAGGTTGCAGACCCCTGAGCTAGGCAAAATCACATCAGATACCTGTACAATTAGCACAGGGGCCTCCCAGGGCTGTGTCCTCTCCCCACTTCTCTCTATATACAAACTGCATCTCAAAGGATCCCTCTGTTAAAGTACTGAAGTTTGCAGATAATACAACAGTGATTGGTCTCTTGTAAGACAACGACGAATTGGCATACAGACAGGAAGTTGAACAACTAACCTTGTGGTGCAGCCAGAACAATCTTGAACTAAATACACTCAAAGCCATAGAAGTGGTGGTAGATTTTAGAAGTTCTCCTATTCTACCACTCTTACAAGACTAGACAACGTAGTATCAACAGTAGAGACCTTCAAGTTTCTAGGTTCTATACTATCTCAAGACTTAAGATGGACACCTAACATAAAAAATATCATCAGAAAAGCGCAATAAAGAATGTTCTTCCTGCGCCAACTCAGAAAGCTCAGATTGCCCAAGGAGCTGCTGATACGATTCTACAAAGGAATTATTGAGTCTATCATTTGCACCTCTATAACTGTCTGTTTTGGCACTGCAACCAAACAAGACAGACACAGACTTCAGTGGATAGTTAGCACTGCAGAAAAATAATAATTGCTACCAGCCTGTCTTACATTGAGGACCTTTCTTGCACAAGCCAGAAAGAGAGCTGTGAAAATATCTACAGACCTCACACATCCTGGACATAAACTGTTTCAACTTCTTCCCTCAAGATGCCATAGGGCAGTGGTGGCTAACCTTTCTGGGCTCCTATGCCAAAAATTGCATGCACGTTAGTGCGCCAGCACCCAGAATGCAATGTGCGCCCCATCCCCCCATGCCACCACCTCCACCCCCTTACCTGCACTGCGCCTCACAACTGGTTTTTTGGCTGGTTTGAGGCCTTTTTCGGCCTCCCAGAGGCTTGGAAAAAGCCTCTACAAGGCTTCTCAGGCCGAATAATATGCCTGTTTCATCACTTCCGGTATTACAGGAAGTGATGAAATGAGTCCTGCAGAGACTTTTTCCAAGCCTCTGGGAGGCTGAAAAAGGCCTGAAACTTGCAGAAAAATCAGCTGTGAGGCACATGCATGCACAATGAGGTAAGTTTGCCTGTGGCTTGTGTGCCAGCACAAGTGGCTCTGTGTGCCACTTGTGGCACGCATGCCATAGGTTCACCATCATGGCCATAGGGCATTACATGCCAAAATAGTTAGACACAAGGACAAGTTTCCCTCCCCCCCCATGCCATCACTCTGCTAAACAACTAAATTCTCTCAACACTGTCAAACTACCTAGTAGGGCTGTATTACTATTCTTCTTCTCATCTTTCCTATTACCTATTTCCTTATTTTATGATTATCTTACAATTTATATTAATTGTTTTATTTAGTATCCCAGTATGATTTATATTGATTGCTTATTTACTATCCTATGATTATTCTAAGTATTGTATCTTATGATTTATGATGAATGCATTTTTATTATGATTATGATCATGATGTATAACTTGTTGCTTGTACACTGAGAGCTTATGCACCGGAAACAAATTCCTTGTGTGTCCAATCATACTTGGGCAATAAAGAATTCTATTCTATTCTATAAATGTAGATTGATTTCTAGAGGCCGTATAATAACTGATTTACCCCCCCCCCCCATTATTAAAGCTGCTTTGATATCTGTAAAAAGGATAAATTATTATCTTTTGACTCGTTGCTGCTAGGTCCTGAGCGCTGGGATGATTTCTTAGAAAGAAAAATATTTATTTTCATGCCTTGGATGAAGCTCTCATAGTGATATAGATACATGAAGATAACACAAAGCAATAGTAAATAGTTCCAGGTGAAACCATGGAGTTTTAGAAAAATGGTAGAAGAGGCATTCTCCCTTAGGCCAGCCTATCTGATAGGATTGTTTTATGTTAAATAGGAGAAATCTATATGTATATTTCCAGAGTTCTGGAAGTAGGTGGAGGGACAGTAATAATAATGCTTGTATTTATTTTAATTAGAACCCATATCATGACCCAATGAATTTAGGTGCAAAAAGATGCTTGTCTAGAGCCTCTTGACCAGGGGAAATGTCTACCTTAATTTTTCTCTGAGTTTTCTTTTGGTTATCTTATGTAGTATAACTGGGATCTTTTTATTGTTGCTACTGTTTAGCAACTGGGAATCAGAGGAGTTTTGGGCATTGCAGATCATCTGGAGATCTGTAGTGGAGCTGATCCATCATGTTCTGTCTAATGATGCAGAATATTGAACTGGATAGGTCAGTGGATTGAGTCTATACAAGTAGTTTCCTGCCTTTTTTTATTTCCTAAAGAGCCAGTAGTTATTGGTTGCCTATTTTTGTTCCTTTATATATGAGAATATGAGCCATTCAGAACTATAAAAAAATTATTATGCTTTTTAAAAATAATGAATGATTTTTGTAGTCTCATTTCTTTCCCAATACGTCCACATTAGCCATTTTTAAAAAAAGCCTGCTATAGCATGCAAGTTGCTTTAGCAGCTTGGAGACCCACCTGATTTTATCTTGCTATTGTTCTTCATGTTCTCTTTTTCCTTTTCCTTTCCTTCTCTATGAGGTTGTCACATTCTGTGCCCATGTCCAAAGTTGTCCAATTTTTTCAGAAGACCATCTCTTTGTGTGGCACACTTTCTGCTTTCCAATACTCATACTGAGAAATCCAGTGCAGCATTTGAGTTTCAGATTTTTCTTTCACTTTTGAGACGGGGGTGGGATTTTACTGGTTTGGCCCGGTTCGGTCAAACTGGTAGCTCCGAAGATCATCTGGGAGTGAACCGTTTCACTCCGAAGATCAGCTGCTGGGCCCACCTGCCCTCCCCGGCTCCCTACTGACTTTTATTTCCTGCTTTTGAACTCAGCTGCATCACACGGCACAGCGGATTGCCACGTGTTGAAGAGACAGGGAGAGTGCAGGAGTGGGTCAGTAGGGAAGCCTCTGCACGCATGCAAAGCACGCATGCACGCACAAAGTATGCTCACCAAGCCACACCCACCGAACCGGTGGTAAACCAATTTGAATCCCACCACTGTTTTGAGGGGTGACTTATGGGGATAAAGTGGGTTGCTTGAGAGTTTAGATCCCAGATGTCATTCAGGACAGTAAATAATGGCACACAGTCAGATCTGGATTCTTGATGAATAAAGATCCAGGCGTGCTCTGACACAAGACCTATAGGGGTGAATGAGAGATGTAGTAAGAGTGTTTCTGACAAATTTCATGCTCCCTGAAAACGGGAAGGACATAAGGTCATGCCAAGCAAAGTCCTGTTGGGTCAATTTGTGCTTAACTTCCTTCCAAGCACACATCAGTAAGTATAGTAGATACTTCTAAACTGCTGCAATATGTGATGGGTGGGACAGCATAGTTGGTAGATACAGCTGGGGGAGAGCAATCCACCACAATTCTTGTATACTTACAAATGAAGGGTTAGAAACACAAATATGTACTGGAGTATGACACTAATATAGCGTAACTATTTAAAACAGAAATGATATGCTATCAATAGGAAGCACATAGTTTGTAATCAGAAGATGTAAACAAAGCGTGAATAAAAATGTTAATGTAATTTCTAAAGAGTAGCCCTTTTAATATATATCTTTTGCAATACAATATATCATCTTGTGGGAGATAAAAATTAACATATATTTTGCTAGTTAAATGTCATTAAACTATGATGATTTTATGAGGCATCCTATGGTATTACATTATCATTATTAAGCTGAATTTTTGCATCATTTCTTTATTAGACCTTATCCAGGATTCCAAACAGATATTCTCCCTCAGAACAGCTTTCAACAATTAAAAATCCATTTACAAATATGTACATCTTTTTCTCAACTTATAACAAAAATGATAAAAAGAAGCTTAAAAGAAGTGAAATGGTAGGGGGGGAAAGTATTTTGATATTTCTCTTATTGCTCTTGTTTCTTGTCACCTCCTACAGCTGGATTTGGCCATGCATTGATATTTCCTGTTAAATGCTCACTCCTTCCAGTCTGTGTCATGGACTCCATGTTTGAGGATGACATCAGCATCCTTACCCAAGATGCCTTGGCGCAGGATGATGAATGGTTGGACAGTCCGAACACCGACCTCTCCAGTGAGATGTGTTCTGCTTCTCACTTTGCTTTCATTACAGCATATGATGACATCAAAAATCGCTTGACAGGGCTAGAGCGGGAAAATACTAACCTCAAACGGAAGCTAAAGATGTATGAGATCAAGGTGAGTGGTAGCTGTTTAAAATAAGGCCAGCCGGAAAAATAGCATATGCCAATTCAGAGGGGGGGAAATGTTGTTCCTAACATGGGCAAAAATGTAGTAATTACCTGTTGCTACAGAACATTGACCCCACACAATAGGGACCTAGGGCATCCCTCCTACTTTTTAATGTGTTAGTTCCTGTTATGCTTAGGGCAATCTTCTCCAGCTGCCTATGTTGAGACTGCAGCTTCAGAAATTTCCAGCCAGAATAGTTTTGGGAAGTTATATTCTAATACCTCTGGAGGATACAAAGATAAAGAAGGCTAATAGTCTTTAATTAATTTACTCTTTTTTTTACACTTCTTGATCATGCGAAAGGTGGGTAGTTGCTAGATGGACCAATGTGCTGACTAGGCATCAGCCAATCTGTTTAATTTTTTCCCTGCGAGAAATGTCATATTGTTGCCTATGTTCACATGTTGTAAATCTGTTCAGAAGTTTTTCTTAGTTACACAACACCTCCCTCCTTTTGTTTGATTTTTTATTTTAAATAAAATGAAAGTAACTAAATAAATAGCCTCCTCCTTAAACCATAGCTCTCATATTATGGCCCACAGATTACTATCAACTCCAATTAGAAATTTCATGGAAAGACAGTTGAAGCATTGAATATATTTATATTTTACCCAGTATTTGATTTTTTTTTTTTAAATCTACATTGTCCAGGCCAGATAACTCTTAGAATCATTTTTCTGGTTTTTTTTTTGGTTTTTTTAATGGAAGCTAACATTGTAACGCTCTGATATTTAAATATTACATGCAGATTTACATGTTATTGCTTCCCATTTTGTACAAATATTAGTGAAACATATGTGTATGTATGTGTGTACATATAGATATATAAACACACAATATTTCCCCACACACACACATACTTTTTTTGGATCTGTCCTGCAGTTCCCATTGATCAGTGACTTTGGAGAAGAACGTATGTTCCCAGTTTATGAATCCAAGGAGACTTCTCTTCTGAAGAGTGAGAAAGCCAACCTCCAGCAGCAGTTGAATCAGTTCCAGCGTGAGGTGAGGGGACTGTCTCAGCAACCTTTGAAAAAATGGATGCGCTTAACTTACTGATCTTTTCGTGGAATTTTTCGTGACATATGGTGGCTTTTGCAACTGCCTCATGAACTGAAATATGGTTCAAGGCTGAGGCTTTGTTTTGTTTGTTTGATTTTAGTAGTATGTGACTATGACAAAATTAATAAGAAAATGACATTCCCAATAGCTGCAGTTGACTGAAGAAGGACTCTCTCTCTCCATTTTAATTAAGGATACTTTAATGGGGTATATTCATTTGATGTGCAGTTCTCTGTTGTGTTCTGGAATTTTAATCTCTACACATTTGGAAGAAGGGTCCTGTACAGTTTCAATTTCAGAAAGCACAGTGAGTAAGTACTGTAACTAATAGTAGCAAAGACATAGAAAGAGATAGAGTTTCACATGTCTCAAATCACACCTTCAACTAGGTGAGACCAGGGGTACATCTGGATCTCAGATTCCAGGGTTCTGTTTGTACACAAAGCTCTCAAATGACAACAATCCAAAATTGTGCACATAGAGATAGACACAAATGTGTACAAATACACACACATACACACACATGGGAGAGGACTATGAATGAAATTCCTTAAGAGAAATTTTATCTCTGTTGTCTTTGCTCTTAGAAATAGATAATTGAGTAACTGAAGTACTAATACTTGTGTTCTCAGTTAGAGTAGGGAGCCCATAGGATGCAATGGATAATATGTCAGGTTTAAATTAATGATGCATTTAAATTAGTTATGCAAAATATTTTCTGTTTTTTTTTGTCCTGAACAAACATGTACCTAGCAGAATTTTATGAATTTAAAATGAAACTATTTAAGTATTCTATAGGAGTCTTAATTGTTATTTAACTCATAACCAAAGTAATACAATGGCAATAGAGATAAGAGGACCTAAAATTTCAATTCAATCCTAGAAGATTCATGAAATGATCTTGGGTCAATTGTTGTTTCTCTTACCATTGCATACTTCATAAGGCTGTATAGGTAAAATGGAATATCTCCCTCTCTCCCCCACCCCCCATCTGGTATGTACATTCTTTTTCTTTTATTGTATTTTATTTGATTGTTAAATATACAAGTTTTATGTAGTAAATAATCAAGTGATTATATAAGAAATAAGAAATACAATCAACCACCAATAATCACAACAAACGGACTCTTTTGGACAAAGAGTCTTTATAAAGAGCCCTTTTTAATTCTATATATTATTAGTTTTGTTTTTATTGTAATTTTATAGATCTTGATACATTGCATTATTTCAATGAATATTTTAGTGCAATTATATGTATGTAATATACATAAATTATGAACATAAATTAGTTTATTTAGGAAGTTTAAAGTATTGAAAATAAGGAAAATATTATTTAGCAATAGCAATAGCACTTAGACTTATATACCGCTTCACAGTGCTTTTCAGCCCTCTCTAAGCTGTTTACAGAGTCAGCATATTGCCCCCAACAATCTGGGTTCTTGTTCCTTGTAAAAGAAGGAAGAACACAATCTGGGTTCTTGTTCCTTGTAAAAGAAGCAGCTACAGAAACAAGAATTGGACTTTAGTATCTTACTTGGTTTGTATGCAGACTTTTCCCATGGAAGGAGTAGCAGCATTGAACTAATGATTAAATATTGTTGGGGTGGGAAAGAGAAAAAGAGAGAGAAGAATTGAAATGGGAGTGAAGGTACTATTCCTTCTCTTGTTCTTTAATAATTTGGAATGGGGTATTTTTGGTATAGTTGAATTCTTCCTTTTTTTAAGCTTTATTGGATTTTTATTTTTAAATATACATCAATATCAATGCATGAACTGTGTGGCCTCTGGGTATAATTCATTTTGATACAAACAGCAATAATAATAATAGTTGTTACATTAATCAAACTTATATAATCCTAGTATTGATATACATGATTATTTTAGAGTAGTTATTTAATATTTCAATATTCCATTTTAAATCCAATGATATTATTAAACATACATAGTAATACCACCTTTCAACTCTAATCTTTCCATCTAATTAGTACTTATATTCTATTATATAAAATTATATCTGCTAATATTCTACCTATTTCTTATTTCTACCTCTATTCTAACTTGTAGTCAGGCCACCATTACTAATCCTAGTGTTAATACACATGTTTATATTAAGACATAGTCCTTCATTATTTAGTTGTTCAAAGTGACAATACTCCATTCAAGTACCAGTCATCCTATTATTTAAACATACCTAATAATACCATCTTTCAACCTCCAATCTTTCTATCTAGTTATTGCTTTATATAAAGGTGGGTATTCTTATTTCTACCTCTATTCTAGTTTTAATCAGACCATCATTATATTAGAAAAAAGGGAAAAACCATAATAATAATTCTTTTCTATCCATCATCTCTCAACCATTTTAATACCACAATTCTTACTTGTTTTTTTGGCTTGCCTCCTATACTTCTCTTTTGGATCTTTGTCTCTATCAGCATCTGTGTCTTCACTATTCAATCTGAGTATTTCTCTCATCTCTGTCCTCCTAAGCTGCCAGGTATCCAGCCTGTCCATCCAAACCCCTATCTCCCTTTCAAAAGTATCTTCCAGGTTATCCAATTCCATTTTTAAGTCTCTTAAAGTACTTTTCCCTTGCTTTATAAGACATTATTATCTTTATCATCTTCCCCTTCTCATCTTCTTGCTTTGTTTACTGGTTTGTCTGTTCTACCTTTTCCTCCATTCTTTCTACTGTCTCCTCTCTTTCCTGGACTCTTTGATCTTCATTCATTATCAGTTGTAGCATATTTTCTATTTTCCCATTTGTACCTTGCATTAGGTTCTTTATCTCTCTGTGATTCTTTGTTATAGTACCCCTAATGCTTTGAAACATCAATGCCATTTCTCTTGAAATCTCACTCATTTCCCCCTGATGGAGCATCTTGTCTTATTTTAATAAGTCCCACTTTTACTCAAGTCCAAAAACAATATATTCAAGTCCAATATTGTTCTTCAGAAAGTTCAATAGTTATAGATTTTTACATCTCAGGATTAAGAATCAGTTCCATTTAAGTAGTCCAGACAGCTTTCATAAATCAAAAGTCCCTTTAGTTTACTTAAGAGTCTTCCTTATTCTCACAATAGAGTCTCCAGAAATCATAAAGTAGATAGTTATAGAACAGTTATGAAAATTTTTCCTAGACTTGTAGGAGTATGGTATACTTTCCATTCACCAGTAGATGGTGCCCTCAGCTTAGGTTTCAGTGTTGTTTCAAGACTGATAAATTGATTAATCCAAGCTTAGTTCAATTTATCAATTTAGAAGCAAAGTCGGCTAACCAAATAGATTCAAGTAATAGTTCCAGCATTTCATAATGTCTTTCCAAAACAATGCATACCCAGTTTAAAAATCCAATTTTCTATGTTTAGCTTTCTCCCCTTAATTCCTTTCTTTCGGGGCTAGGATTTTTCTCTATATGGTTGATCACTGCTTTAAGGAATAGTTCTAAGAGTATCTTTTCCTGGATTTTCCTTTTTTTTTCCTTTTAAGGTTAGGGTCTAACTAAAAAAGGAATCTTCTCACCCAGCTCCAGTCACTGTTCATCTACACATTTCTTTGTTACCTCAGCTGTCCCAGCTTCATGGCAGCCATGATGGCTACCTCTTCTCCTCATCATGGATGAGAGGAAGAAGTCCTGGTTCCAGTAGGAGAGTTGCTGCTCTCCACGACCTACAGGGGTCCCTTCTTCACCACCCCTACTGGGTGGCTTTAGCTCCTTTAGGAGCCCTCCAACAGGGAGAACTCAGCGTGGGAACATGGAGACCTGCTCCTCACATCCAATCTCGCTGCAGCATCAGCCAGAAGTTCAGTATAGTTGAATTCTTATTCCAGTGACTTTCATAATTTAGTAATGGACCATCTGCATTCCTTGTCTTAAAACATTTTTAATTCTCTTGACACTAGAAGAGAAGGATAAAGCAAAGATTCTAGTGGTTGATTTTCAGTGCTTTGTGTCAAACTTCACACCCAGGCTAGGCAAAAAACCCAGACACTTCGTCCTAAATTCAGCTTTTGGCTAGACTTGGCAGGAGACTTCCAGGCACTCCTTGGCTCAACATTTTTATTGCAGACAAAAAGAAGGCCTCAGATACAATGATTCATTGCTCATGACAGTGCAAGAAGGAAGGAAGGAAGGAAGGAAGGAAGGAAGGAAGGAAGGAAGGAA